TGTTCGCATGCGGTTCCCCCACCCAGGGCAGCGATTCGTAGCCCCATAGGGAGCTCCACCGAAGGCCCCAGCGGGGGTGTTCGCATGCGGTTCCCCCACCCAGGGCAGCGTTTCGTGGCCCCATAGGGAGCTCCACCGAAGGCCCCAGTGGGGGTGATCGCATGCGGTTCCCCCACCCAGGGCAGCGTTTCGTAGCCCCACAGCGGAGCTCACCGAAGGCCCCAGTGTTGTGTTCGCCATTGTGGGTCCAGCACACAGGGCCAGCGTTTTCGTGGCCCCAGGAGGGAGCTTCACCGAAGGCCCCAGTGGGGGTGGTTCGCATGCGGAATCCTTCCACCCAGGGCAGCGTTTCGTGGCCCCACAGGGAGCTCCACCGAAGGCCCCAGTGGGGGTGTTCGCATGCGGTTCCTTCACCCAGGGCAGCGCTTCGTGGCCCCATAGGGAGCTCCACCGAAGGCCCCAGTGGGGGTGTTCGCATGCGGTTCCTTGCCTAGGGCAGCGCTTCGCGGCCCCATAGGGAACTCCACCGAAGGCCCCAGTGAGGGTGTTCGCATGCGGTTCCTTCACCCAGGGCAGCGTTTCGGGGCCCCATAGGGAGCTCCACCGAAGGCCCCAGTGGGGGCGTTCGCATGCGGTTCCTTCACCCAGGGCAGCGTTTCGTGGCCCCATAGGGGGCTCCATCGAAGGTTTTTCCCAACCATCCGGTGGTGTTGGGTCCTTGATTTGAAGAGACGGTGCCCCGCGTTCCTTCCTTCCTTCCTTCCTTCCCGCCCTCCTCCCCCTCCTCCCTCCTCCCCCTCCTTGCCTCTGCTCTCGGCACACTTCTCACACGTTTCGTTTCCCCATAGGGAGCTCCACCGAAGGTCCCAGTGGGCGTGGGCGCATGCGGTTCCCCCACACAGGGCAGCGCTTCGTGGCCCCATAGGGAGCTCCACCAAAGGCCCCAGTGGGCGTGGGCGCATGCGGTTCCCCCACCCATGGCGGCGTTTCGTGGCCCCATAGGGAGCTCCACCGAAGGTCCCAGTGGGGGTGGGCGCATGCGGTTCCCCCACCCAGGGCAGCGTTTCTTGGCCCCACAGGGAGCTCCACCGAAGGCCCCAGTGGGGGTGGGCGCGTGCGGTTCCTTCACCCAGGGCAGCGCTTCGTGGCCCCACAGGAGGCTCTAACGAAGTCCCCAGTTGGGGTGGGCGCGTGCGGTTCCCCCACCCAGGGCAGCGCTTCGTGGCCCCATAGGGAGCTCCACCGAAGGCCCCAGTGGGGGTGGGCGCATGCGGTTCCCTCACCCAGGGCAGCGCCTCGTGGCCCCATAGGGAGCTCCACCGAAGGCCCCAGTGGGGGTGGGCGCATGCGGTTCCCCCACCCAGGGCAGCGCTTCGCGGCACCATAGGGAGCTCCACCAAAGGCCCCAGTGGGGTTGGGCGCGCGCGATTCCCCCACACAGGGCAGCGTCTCGTGGCCCCATAGGGAGCTCCATCGAAGGCCCCAGTGGGGGTGTTCGCATGCGTCCCCCTTGCCCAAGACAGCGCTTCGTGGCCCCATAGGGAGCTCCACCGAGGCGGTGTCCACATGCGTCCGCGCCACCAATTTCGGCGCACCCTTCACAAGTTTCGTGGCCCCATAGGAGCTCCACCGAAACGAGTACCCACAATGCGGCACTCGCAACTGCACATGCTTGGGTCCTGCGTCAGGCTAAGTTTGATTATTTTTGCATGCTCCTCCTGTAGGGGGACAGGCCCGGGTTGCTGCTGGGGCGGGAGGTGCGGCCTGGAGCTTGTGGACCGCGTGTCCCCGCGGCAGCCCAGGCCTGCGAGCGGATGCAGCGCGTCGCTCCGCTCCGCGGGGGGGGCCGAGGGAAGTGGACAGCGTGCCGCGCCGCGGCGCGGTGGGCCCAAACTGGCGGAGCGACTCGCTAACCCAAAGCCCAGACCCTCTCGAGTAATGAAAAAATCATGACGGGAGGTTTTTCCTGATTTGCGGCCTCTGGGGCCCCTCACCGGGCCTCGGGAGCGTCAAACAACGACTCAGGATGCAACACCGGTCCCGGGGAATGGGTCGAGATCTCTGGGGGTCGACGTCATGAAAAAATCATGACGTCGGGGCTCTGGGAGCTCCGCACCGAAGAGGCCTCCCAATCGTTTCCCCTCGCAAGCAGCAGCATGACTCGGCATTGGCCCTGTAGTTCGCGCGCGTGCCGCTCGCATCAGGTCGGGCACGTCCCCCTACAGGTGGGTTTTGCACGAAGAATGAGAAATACGAGAAATGCCCAAACATATTCAAAACAAACAAAAGATGGTGGTCCCCCGACTACTTTTTCACGATGTTTGGATGTTCCTCCTAATTTGAATGTTCCTCCTATAGACGGACAGGCCCGACTTCACGCTCGCAGCACGAGCCAAGTGACAAGAGATCGCGACGCAGATCCACAGACCCGATCGAGAGGGGTGAGGGCCAAAGCTGCACAGTGCAGCGCTGTGACGCCCAGAGCGAAGCAGCGACCCCAGAGCAGTGTCACATCACACCACCAGCTGGGGCGTCAACTGCACGCGACGTCTGGCCTCCCAAATGGGATCGGAGCAGATGAAATCGGAGGATCGCTGCACATCGTCGATGTATCCCCGATGCGTCGGCGATGCATGGGCGTCGGCGACGTCGGCGATGCGCCGGCGCCGTCGGTGTGGAGAACATCGGGCTCCACATCGAGCCGCATCGCCGATGCATCGGCGATGCGGCGTCTGCTCGGAACCCATTTGGGAGGCCTAGAGAGAGCAGACATCCAACGAGTCGACGAACAAATCCGCCGATCTCTTGGAGTTCATCGGCGTGTGACATGTTTCCCCCTTCCAAGAAAAAGCAAACATCGCCCCATTTCCGCGGGAACACCGGAATTTTGAGGACATTCGCCTCTCTTGCGAGAACAACATCCAAGACAGCCCAAGAAGCCTCCTGGGTCGGCCCATGACGGCCCAAGAGGCCCCCCAGAGGGCTCTGAGAAGACCCAAACGGGGGGACAGAGGGCCCCGACCAGGCCAAGAGGGCACCAAGAGGCCCTCTGGACGGTTCAAGAGGGCCACGAGGCGCCGGAAGATCAAAAGAAAACGCCCACGCTGGCCTCCAGACGTCGCAAGTGGCCACCAAGACGCCCCACGAAGCCCTCAATAGGCGTCCCAAGACGGCCTCAAAGAGCAAGCATCGCCCAATGTCGATGGGAAAACTTGCAGTTTTTGCACATTCGCCTCTCCTGCGATCGCAACGCCCAAGACAGCCCAAGAAGCCTCCTGGGTTGCTCCATGACGGCCCAAGAAGCCCCCCAGGTTCAACCACTGCTTCCCAAACGTTCCCGAAACGCCTCCCACGAGACCCCGTTCGCCATCCGCATGGCCTCCGACCCGCAGCCCACATTCGGATGGCGGGATGTGTTGACGGCTAGTCGGTAATCGTCCTTTTGGAGTTTGAACAGATGCCCGCTGTTAGAGCACGTGGGTTCTCGCCAGTTCCCCTGTGCGCGCACTGCGCACATTGAAAAAGTCAGCCGCGCTATGACAGAAGCCCGCCATATGTACACGTGGGTTCTCTCCCGTTTCCCAGTTTTCCCGCACACCAGAGCGGCTCCAAACAAAGCGCCAACTGTCCAAGACAGCGCCGAGATGGTCCAAGGTAGCCCAGAGACGATCCAAGATAGCATCGAGACGGCGCATGAACCGCCCAAGACTTCCCAGGAATCAACCAATGGTGCGTCGGAGGCATGACTCCTGGCTTTCCTACGCCCAGTTCAGAGAGAAGTACCGCTCCTACTCTGATCGACATGGCCTGAAAACAATTCCACGGGCGCTCCACTCTCGTCCCATCAGATCCTTCCCACCTCCTGCCCCCTTCATCCACCTCCCCGACAAGCTTCTCCTGATCTGTATCCCGGCCAAGCTTTCGAGACGAGTGTAGCTCATGCGACGAAGGCCCTCTCGCGGCCTACACGGATCCAATAACGACGCCCGCAAACAGCATCCCACCAGCCCTCCGGAAGTCGGTCGGTTAGGGAAGACGCTCGTCCAAACCCTTTCTTCCCCTTCTGAAAGTGATCTACCCCTACTCCGTGTTCATAGACGCCCGCCCCCTCGACCGACGGCCGACCCGAAGTAAATACAACCCCCCAACCACCATCCCAGACATCACAGTAATTCCAAGACGAAGCGCACTTTGCGACATAACCTGGATCATCTTCGGGCCTCCCGCCCTCACTGTGTAATGGTCTCTTACACGACGGCAGGGGGCATCATATTACCCCGTGTGTGCAGGCACATCACCCCTCTCAGGAGCAAGCGCCGCTATGTGCACGTGGCGGCACACGCAGCATGGCACAGCATCGCTGCCTGGCGTTTCTGCTGCACGCCGCCTTCTGCTGCACACCACCCGACCTCTTGGGGTCTTCGGTGTGTGAGATGCTGACCCCTCCCCCGACCCTCCCCACCCAGTCCCCGGTCCAGTCGATCCGGAGGAAGGGGGGGTCCGCCCAGATCCTCCAGGGCCTGGCCCTGCGACATGCCATGGGAGGGTGCAGGCCCCCACAACGAGCCCACATGCCCCAAGAGGCCCCACAGACTGTCCACGAGGGCCCCCAGTCGTCGACGGCTCCTCCAGGACGGCCAAGCAGCCTCCAGACGGCCCAAGACGCCCCCAACACGCCCCAAGACGCCTCCAAGAGC